TGGCTGTAGGAGGAACACTGTTCAAACGCATAGGCGTCCGTCAAGTGTGGGCTTAATGTGTAATCATCTGAGAGGCTTCTATGAATTTTAGATTACTGCCAATAGTAGATAATCTGGCATTTGTCCAGTAGCACCTCACGGAAGTGAATGGTGGATCTTCGCTTCTTCTGAGCAGCCACCCTCTTGTGCAGCACAACCACTGCATTCTAGCTTGATTACTGTTTCCTCCTTTTCGTCGCATTCAAAACTGCAATGATACTGTTTGCTTTTATCTCTATGTTCGGGCGTAATCCTGGCTTTTACAATACAAATATCCCGTTCTCTTTTCAACTGCACATAGCCAATCGCCTCGTCTCCATAGGTGTCACTTCCAGACCTATAATGACAACAGCCAAATGACAATACCCAAAAATGTGTTACGAAAGAATTATTAAAATGCTGTGAAGTAATGATATCAAGATGTGTGTCAGTTTCAAAGGGAAATTGAAAAAATATCTCATGGAAAACCAAAATTCATGGTAGTGAAATTTCGTATAAAAATATGTAGTCTTGAAGACATAATATATTTTGTGATATATTGTGTAATATGGATATTGTAGCATTAATGCTAAACACATCTGAAACAAACAAACACCGGACGGCCATCAAGTCCTTTTCTCGTTGGATTAAATTTCTGTTCAAACAGTTGATTTTCTGGTCACTGCGCGATATTGAATTTATTATTAATTTATCAAAACTGTTCGCTGGAGTTTGGGTCATTCTAAATTATTTGATGCATGCAAAGCATTTTTTCATTTTCTTCTATTTATGAAATTAATAAAGCCAAATAAGATCATCCATAATACCCCGCCACTGACACCACGCGTCCTACGTAAAGTTGATGACTCAAAACACTTTTATAAGTCCACAGTATGGTATAGTCGCAGGCAAAGTATGTATGCGATATGCCGTCGTGTCGTCCGACGGTTCACTACGACGTTATGTGACGTCACTACTGAACTTCGACGCGCGAGGCCGATCGGCTACTACAGCAGCCAACACAGAAAATGCCATAACCTCCTTAAATTTAAAGTTATTGAAATAATACTTTCAGATTTGTCAAAGATACTAGTTATATTATCAGATGCCAGTAACACAGACAGTATTTTCGACTATAGGAAACTTCCTAATTGCATATACTAAAATAAAAACTAGCAATAACAAACTTTATTAAATTATTCTACGGCTCCAAGAAGTCCTTTGACTGACCGCTGGACGTTTTCATTCCTGTTCAAAGAAGGCATGTAATATTTGTAGTAGTGGTGGTGATCCTTCTAGCCAGCCCCGTAGTATCAACACCAAATAACCCGAAATAGCTGTCCATCGTTGGCCATCTAGGCCCAGATGAACGAAAGCATTAATAGTTTATTTAAGTAGACCTTATCTATTATAGCACCAGAATCGTCGGCATCTAGAAGCTATAATGGTGGCCCGGCTGACAATGCGATCTGGAATACAGTTCAACAGACAGCTTGCTGCTTTCACTTTCACAGTGGTCGATTCTGGTAATAGATGACACTTTAAGCTGCCTTATTTCGATGTTTGAATTTGTCTAAAGTAAGAAGTGTAACTTTTACGCATGAAAATGATATTTAATTTGCTTGTGTAATTCATATGGACTAGTTAAATTCGAGTATATTGCTTTATTGCTTTCAATTAACCTTGTATATTGCTCCATAACTTGGGAAAGTTGTCTGAAATAAAGATGTTTTGGGATAAACAATTAGTAATTTTCAGAAACTACTTGATGGATCGACACTATCATCGCAATGGTGCCGACAAAAGCATTTTGGATAATGTTTAGTCATAATTTTTTTATTGTTATATGTAGTCTCATTCGCATTTACAATTTTTTAGCTATTGAATGACAAGCTTTCCTGCAAACGTAGAACTATCCGTTTTGTGCGTTCATGTTGTAAATAACTTTATGAACAAATTTAATCAGTATAACCTGACGTTACAATTATTCCGGGAAAATTCGCTAAAATGTGGCATTCTTTAATTAGAGAGGTGTCTTAAGAAGATATATCAAAGAGCTGGGCAGTTCCCCTACTGCATCCTAGATGACTTTGGGAGATAGTACAAAAAAGACAATGCGGCAATACGCCGGCATTAGGCCTACAAGTAACTTCTTAATAACACCGAGGAAGACAAGTCAGTGAAGCCGATTCTGACTGAAGTAGGTCATCCAACTAGCTAGCCAAGCTATCGATGTCAAATCCAGCTTCCAAAATCCAAGCTTCCTGTACACTACACGTATATCTCATAATAATAATAATAATAATAATAATAATAATAATAATAATGCTTTGTTGTAATTATATGCAACTATCAGCCATATTTCACACTTATAACTTTGTTCATTTTTTCAGTAAAATACATCTAGCTAGTTGCTTTATCATATACAAATGCAATGTAGTTGAAATATATTAAGGAACCATGATCAAATAAGGACTATTTTGGGAGTTATAACCTTCTGATATTTTTTCCTCAACTTTAACCATCTGTGGTGAAACAAAAATTTACTGGTTGCTATAACTGCATTATATTCAACAAAAAGATTGCTCATTGAATACAGATTTCAGAAAGGCACCACACGTACTATTTGGAATAGAAAAAAGTGATGGCTGCTTTTGTAAGTGACTGACACACACTACAATGTAATTATTGGACTTAAATTCAAGTTGCACTGGTTACCGATCAGTGATATGCTAAATAGTACAAAGCTACATTATTATTACCTGTCCTGATATGATTTTATGAAACTTACTGAAATTCGGACACGAGTCAGTAACAATACAAAAGAATTATTTTTTATCATGGTTCCTTAATATCTTTTAACTACATTGCATTTGTATATGATAAAGCAACTATCTAGAAGTACTTTATAGAAAAAATTAACAAAGTACAACCTTATTTGTACATGCAGCTAAAGACCACAGATGAAAAGGTTTGTTTTTAAAAATTTTACAAAAAAAATCAGTATCTCGAAAACGGTGACACTTTTATATAGATAAGTTTTTGTTATTTGGGAGGTCAGCCCAAAGCCTACCTTCTCCTTAAGTTTGTCGTGGTACTTATTGGGCACCCTGTATATGTATGTATCCGTACTGAAGCGCAAAAAACATACGAATCTTGCACGAAACGAAATATAACAGATGGGGGAGGGCACAACGTTGTCACATGGTGGATAACTATCCATAGGGCAGGGAAAACATCTCTATGAACTAATTGTGTGGGTCTGTTTGTCTGACTTGATACATTTAGTTTCTCTGTTGTACATGTCCGTAACTCAATTTTCTCTCAGAGGATTCAAAGGCATCATATTATGTAACATAATCTATATAAAATATAGGTTTCAAATTGAATTGAATTTGCTAATCCGATTGGACTACTGTAGTAGTCTATATCTATAAATGAATCTAGATCTAAAATATATAAAAAGGACAGCAACACTTTCTGAAAATCGAGAAGAACTCTGGGAATGTGTCATAATCTGAGTCATCCTACAAATACTGAACACTTTCTGGATAATATCTTATCGTTCGCATCTCATTTTTATTACGAACGCCTCTTGTATGGGGGTTGATGAGCTCGAAGGGGATAGGCTGAAGGTTGTCAAAAAACATAGCACGTTCCTGCTCGCCGGAATTTCCGTATAATATATGATTTATTTGGAGTCTTACCCTTCTTTCCTTGCTTCGCTGTCAACGAAGTTTTCGCCTGAGCAAGAACAAAAAGGGGAAAGGGTGAAATTGCTAGAAGGTTGGGTGTCACTGTCATCCCTTAATGGAACTTCACCCAGAAGTTGTAATTGTGAATAAAGCATGACATGACGCTGGTAAAGGTAAACGCTACCATATGAAGCAGTAATTATGCTTATATTCATCGCTGATTCCTATAACCGTTTTACAGATCAATGAAATCAGGTACAAAAAGCTAAGACAAAAAGAACAACCAAATTCTGTAGAATTAAGTTTATTCTTTTTCATCTGAACCGTCGATGTATGGTAATTTGATGAGTTAAGAGGTTCAATTCTTTTATGACCCTGCTGCATACATGTGGCTGAATTTGAGCAACAGCCAGAACTGTTTTCATATTTAGGGCTCAGTAGATGCATGGTATTACCAAAGACTAGCAACTCCAGAACATTCCAAAAGTCTATTGGGATAAAATCATATGATCGTAGTGGCCAGTTTACGTGACCTTTACGACCCTATCCTCGCATCAGTTCATGCAGAATATCGCATTATGGCGCTCGCCGTTGACGGTGGTCTCTTCAGCAACATTATTTCAAAAAAAAAGTGGATCAATGACGCTATCGGTCTAACATCCACAACAAACAGCTTTTCCAAAATGCACGGGATTGTAGAATTATTGGAAATAAAATCTCTTGGCTCCGTGATACTCGCATGTTCCATACAAGAACCTTTCAAATAGAAAATGTGTTTCGCTTGTGCACACAATTTCGACTCATTACTAGAAAACCCTTCACAGCTGTTATAGTTGTATCTTCGCGTTGAGGTAACATGTTTAATGAAATATTCTAAATTAATGAAAAGTATCTTTGATCACATAGAAAGGCTTTTTTCCATCCTAAAAGCAGGGTTTGTTGATATAACTACTATGTTGTCAGCGCTTTCTCTTTCATTATTACGATACAGTTTATTTGTATTAACGCATGTGTTTTTAACTTAAATAGTTTTTGGAACCGGAAAATTGCTTGACCCATCCCAATCGACAGAGGTAATCAGGACAGCTGAATCGATAGCAATATTAGCTCAAAATCTACTCAAACGAGTACATATACTATAAATTAATGATTGTGGTGAAATAATACTCCCAAATGAAGCGTAGGACATTATATTAATTGGTATAATAATGTGTTCCAAAAATACCTATCGGTAACGTTATTGCTCTAATAATTATTTGTGATTCGCGCCAAATTCATTTATACTTATTACTCATTATATTTCAATACCTGAAATTAAAATCAAATCTTGTTCATTTTGTTAATAAAATTATATCTGGCATGCTAAAATATAAATGATCTTAATTGGAAAACATCAACAATAGGGAATATTCATAATTTTTGTATCTATTTTTTGTCGAATATTTACGTTAACATAATGCGCTAAACACATTTTATTCATGAAAACGTCTATATTTATTTATTCTCAAAGATTCAAAACGACAATGTCAATGACGTTCATAAAGCAGCATTTTTAACATGATTCGTAGTGACGTTATAACCTAGGACACGTCATTTGATTGTTTTTTGATTAGTTTGCGGTCTAGTTTGTACAAAGTATTTATAGGTCACATGTATTACAACAAATTACATTAAAGAGCTAGTAAATAAAACATGTATTTCTTGCTCACCTTGCACCTTGTTGTTCGGGAAAATATTTTCTGTTTTTTAAATTATAATCTTTGATCGATTCCCAAGAGGTCCAACTGACTCGGTAATATAAAATTTTCGATTTATAGTGTTGTACAACAGGAAACAAATGCACATTTCTTGCTTTAGCAAAATCTGCGAAATGGAAGATTTTATCCCTTCTGATAGATTCAAACTATTTTGTATATGAAGCTTCAACTGAAGGTTCCTGTTACCATGCACTACAAGTTTCACATTCTTGAAACAAAGGATTTTCAACCTAGATTTTTTATTTTATTCCCGAGACTGTTCGGTATCCAGCAGCTCGATATAATTCATTCAATCTTGTAATATATTGCATAAAATAATGAATTTTGGTTGAATGCGGCCAGTTCAGCGCTATAAATCAGAGGATTGACTTGCATCGGAGCAATTTTCGAGAAGATGCAGTTTTGCGGCTGATAAATTGCTCATCCTCTTCGAATGTTGCATATTTTTCCATTTTTACCTTGCATGTTGAACATTATCGGTAATTTCAATGACTTTCAGTAATCAACACACTAATAGAGCAGTTACAGTAAGCTAGAAAAAAGAAGACTAGCATTACAACAATCTTATACTGTTCAATGCTCCAAAAACGCAGTACTGTACCTTAATGAACATAAAGCATTCTAGTGCTCATCCGGTTTCGATGGATGGTCGAGTTCTGTCACAGAGCCGTTCATTTGGCTGGTCGGAGTTCAGATCACCTATGATTTGATATCGCACGAACACATAGTCTCCTGGAACAATCTATACTAGTTGTTTAGGGCCAAGTTGTACTTCTCTCCACATAGTATCCGCACTCTATACAAGGCCTAGATAAGGCCTAGCCTTGAGTATTGATCACACGTTTGGGGTGCCGCCGCCTCGTCTACATTAGTTATGCTCGATGCTGTTCAGAGGTCTGACTGATCGATGACTCTTCTCTAACCGACAGTAACACCAACGGGCTTTACTCCTCAGAGCTCTCCATGATGCCGCCGCGCGATGTGTCTGCCAGACAGATCCGCCTGACTTCGGTCTCCCATCCTAACCGTGTCGAACTTACGTAAAAGAAGGAGTTGAAAAAAGTACTCACTTTTCATTTGATCAGGAATTTAAAGTACTACCCTGTCTTTTGCTCGTAAATACTTTTGAAGTTGCCGCCGTTCTATTCAAAAGCAAAAGTTCTTAAATTTGCAACATTTGGGGCCGTCTAGGTTTTCTGCCAAATCCACCTCGGCTCTCTGGAGACGATGTAAACAAACCCACCCAGGTTGGGGCGAACACATCTGAACGATCTGAATACACTCGCAAAGTATCAGTAGAATCTTGGAGACACTCGCCATAAACCAAAATCAAATCAATCGGATTCGTTATTGCTATCTGTAATAATGTGCCAATTTCTATTTTTCAGATCTGCATGTAAATAGACTAGGTTAACCTAAACACCACGTGGCGCCTGATTTTGATACTAGCGCAATCGTATCACAAAACATCGTACCTATTGACGTGCAATTTATTCCAGGTCAAGCTTGACTCACTAAGGGTCAATTTCACCAACAACAGTCCGTTATTCTCCACCTATAGGGTAACAGACCGTCAAATACAACGAATGAGCTTCAAGTTCCAATCAACAAATTTTAGCAACCAATAGCTATGAAATGTTGAAAACAAAATACTGTCAAAGTATGAGATGACAGCTTGTCATTGCAACATCACCAGCTTATTGGATATTAAGAAATTACATATAATTCAGTCAAAATTTAAAGAAATGTTGGATTTTTTAATAAAATTCATGTTTTAATTACTATTGTGATTTTGATGTTGATATTGTTTGATACTGGGTGTTTTTCCCTATAAACCTCTTGCAGATAGCCGTTAGGCACCTACTTGATGACAGGCTGTACCAAAAGATATTGCTCGTTTCCAAACATTCATTCATTTACTTGCCGTTTATCAGAACCATTATGGCACCTTAGATTGATATTCCCACAAAACCATTCAGGTTTTTTGATATCCATACATGCATAAAGTTGAATATTTTTCGTTGTTCAGGAACTGAACAAACATCCACACTATATTCATAGCGATTAGGAAATTCCCAAATATATGCCTTAAAGCTACCAGCAATCCTAAAACCTGCAAAAAAACTACAAGTTTGCCAAATTTTTCTTTTTTCACGAGTACACATTCTAGGTTATATTTATATTAGACATTATTTGAATATAGCTGATTATTGCATTTCAAGGAGTGACACATGTGTGGGATGTGTCAACTCTTGGTACCAGTCACAAAACATATACTCTGAAGGTTTAATTCCATGCTATTCAATGACAACACGGTGACTTGTGTGGTTGTCAGCGGCCATTTTGTGAGGGTGCGACAGTGTTGCCAGATTATGCATTAATATCCCGTTTCACCCTTCTGGTCCCAGTGGAGTAAGTTCCGCCAACTGTTGAAATATACTCTACTATGCTTTATAAGACTATTCGTGACATGTTTCTCAAAATCATTGCACAACACTTGAAAAAATGCAAATGAAAATTTAAAATTGATTCCATGATGCCGCAAAATAGCTCCGTCGGTACCTTGGGTTATACATCTTGACAGTAGGGATGTTCGATACGATCCTATATTTAGAAGTATCAATACATTTCGCGAGTATCGTCATCTTTCGATCCGGACTGTGTCAGAAAGAGTGACTGCCATTTGGCTGCGACATTACCCTGCCAAATCAGACATATCTTTCACCATTTTCAAAGAAATTGTACAAAATCTTCAAATTTGTGAATTTGGCGGGTTTCACTTCAAACGTTGTTACCAGACATGCCCAAATCATCAGTTGCTGCCGTGATATTCATTCCGACCACTGCATCCCCACGGCTAGGCGACCTGTATGTTAAATTTGTATTGATAGGGCAGCGGGTTATGCTATAAATCATATGTCACAGTGTTTGTGCACTGATTGCAACGGTTAGTTGATACCAAAAATATTTTCATAAATAGGAGATCTTTCCCATTCCGGATCGAGCAATCTATCAAAGATGCTTATAATCATGATACCTAGTAAATTTTTACGAAAAAAATTCAAAACCAGCAAATGTAAAAGATTCATTTCGCACCCTCCACCACGGGACGTGATCGTCGTTAGACTTGGCAACCCTGCGAGTGACAGATATATGTCCCCGCCAATCAAAAAAGACAAACAATAAACATTACTAGTTTTTATGATTTGTGAAACATTTTTCATATTTTTTTGTCTATGTCGATAGTATAGCATCAGGGAGATGTAGGGATTGACACGTCTTACACATATTATCTGTGTTTTAGGATGGAGAGGACATAATGTTTTTATTACTTTGAAGAAATTCATTAACCAATAAATTAATAAATGACTACTATTATGACGTAAAGGAAGATGAGGAATTGGATGGAATGTATATTCTATTTTCTTGCAAAATATAGTCAAATCAAATCAAATCAAATTCAACAGGTATGTAATGATAACTTTCAGTATATTGCAGTTGGTAAATTCGAGAGTGCAATGCATTAACAAACGTCCAAATCTGCTGCCAAATTTAACAGCTAGAAAATCGACCTATTATTTGCCGCATTCCCATTCGCTGAGGGGGATAAGGGATTGTTATATGTAAACCTATAACCTATATCAAAATACATGAAAGTTGTCCTGTTTTTTTCTGTACAAAAGCATCATGTTAGAATCAAAAAGTGGTCTTGTTTATAATACAGTCGAATTTTCACGATTTTATTCAATTTCAATCGAAATCACTAATATTCAGAGACCTTTGACAGCTTCTGTCAAATTGCATTTCGATAAGGTATTTTCCCATTGATCCATAATATTAATGTTGGTGAAATTGGGCCTTAGAGTTTTTCGGGAATTTAGTATTTCGGTTATTTTATGGCTTTGGTATATATGTTACTAGAAAAACTTGCTTTCTGTTGCCTGATCTATACGCTCTGTAAACGAAAGTATTGATTTTACTTCATAACACCTTTAATGCACCAATTATTTATTTTAACACCAATGTCCACCACATCCAATTACAGTACAGCAATTAATATAGACCAACAGAAATAATGATAAAGTGAAAAGGAGAAGTAGTAAAACTAGCCTATATGTGTTCAACATAACGTCATGGAAGTTTTTTTCTAAATAAGCACCCAGAAAATGTTTGTACATCTCCCGTTTTAGGCAATCTATACAAAGGGGTTAACAACAATCTAGAGCTTAACTAAGACCCATATAATTATTTAAGTGGCAGATATACGGGTTATGAAGCTTAACAACAGGATTATTTGTTTTAAGTAAGATGCCTACTGCTTTTTGAACCCGAAGGGACAGGATTTAAGCAAATCATTGTAATTTTTAGTACTATAATTATTCTATTTTTTTATAGAGTATGTATCCATATATTCGGGTTTTCTGGAAAAAATAAATAAAATTACATTATCATTACAAACTCGACGTTTTGCCTGTTCGCTATACCTACCTACGATCTTCAGAAGGTTTTAAAATCCTAGCAGTGGAAGCACTGTATCAGAATTTCGATCGT